TAGGGCGAGAAGGACTAAAAAAGCTCAGGGTGCCATGATTTCATGAAGCAAAAAAGAAAAACAGCATTTGGCAGGCACATAACCCAAATCACACAACTGCTCTCTCAGGTGGATCAACTTCCCTTCACTAAACACCATCGCTTCTGAAAGTCCTGATGGGAGAGCTTCTTCAGCAAAACAACCACAGGCCAGAGCTCTGGCCAACCCTGTAGGACTCTTGGAAGGCTGGGATTACCTAATGGTTTGTGGGTGGGACAGAGAGATAAAAGCTAAGGATGCTACAAACAGAGCAAGTAGTGGGATGCCAAAGAGCATCCACTACCACCTCATGGCCATGCAGACCTTTTCACATCCAAGCTCCCAGGATGACAAGAGCCCCCAGAGGCAGAGAGCAAGGGGGAAAAGTCTGTGGAGCTCTCAATAAATCCCCTCCATCTAATATGGAAAAAGTTCTCTGTGGGCTGTGAGAATGCACAATACCCAGCCCTCCCCAGAGGGACACCACCACAGCAGTAAGGTGCAGGGTCTCAGAGGAGCCAATTCAAAACACCCTACAGAGATATTCAGCACTCTAAGGACAAAGGCAGGGTAGGAGATGGCCAAGACAAAAGAGCAACTTTGATAGAGGAATATACATCAGCATGACTCCCCGAGATTAGCCAGTGTCTGAAGCACCCCAATGGGCAGAGGCAGCAAGAATTCAGCCAAGCCAATACATCCCCGATTCAAATGTAGGAGGCAGAAACACTTACGTATTATTGACAATTTGGAGGCGTTCCCCTTTTTTGAAGGACAGGTCTGTTTCCGTCCGTGACTCATAGTCGTAGAGGGCTACAAAGGTGGTGACTCCACCTGCAACACACACACACACACACTGAACAAGAGAGACCCGGCAATATGAGCGCACCCCACTCCAAGAAACATTTGCCCCAAAAAGGAGTTAGCTAGAGCTGTGCTAGCAGACTAGGGGCTGGGACTAATGGCAGCACTGGTTCAATCAGATTCTCTACTGCAGTCCTCTTTACCCCTAGCAAGAAAGATGCAGAGCCACCATTTTGTAAATGGCCCCTCTAGGGTAAAATTAAGGGTCTAGGACCCTTCTCTGTAAGAGGAGGAAGCCATGCAATAGCAGGGAGAGGACACACAAAAAGCCCAGAAATGTCTATTCGCCACCTAACACTCTCAGACATGATACAATTAAAGCATCCTACTGACCCGCTAAAGCCCCTGAGCGCTGGGGGGACGTGACTGTATCGGATGTATTGAAGCCTCCAAAGAGCTTGGATTCAGCAGCCATGCTGCCAAAGGAGCGGTTGGGGGTGCGGTGGGGATCGGGAACAGTGGTCTTGCTGGGTGTCTGCGAGGAAGAGTAACCTCCATGGTGGGTATTTTCTGCAGATTCCAGGCTGCGTCTCCTCTGGCTGGGGTCCTTAGGTTTGCTCTTGCTGCTCCCCATGGTCCAAAGCCTGGAGAGGAGAGACACAGAGGGTTAAAGCTGCTCCCTACAGTTTGTGCAACATAGATGCCAGCCTGCTAGGAACTGAAGCAAAACCTGTACACTTTTCAGACTGGCCAGCCAGCAGCTGACTGACAGCCCAGACATCCCGTCACCACTGCCCTGGAACAGCAATTGAAGCAACTCCAGTTCATTAAATTCAAGCAACCTCCTGCTTTGCTGTCTTAGCTAGTGAAACACTTGCCAAGAGGGGGACTGACACACTGCACTTAGCAAGTGATAATTCAGCTACCAGAAGGAAGCATACTTAACAGCATTATAATAGAATGACTAATGCCAAGCCCATGCCTTTCATAAGCATCAAAACTATGCAGGGAGAATAGTGGAGACCGTTCTAGCCATGGAGTTCATATTCAAATTCAGAGTTCGGGAGTGTTCAGATCTACTTGGGCCAGCAGAACATAGCTAGCAGAGTTCTGGTGTGGCTAGGAAGATGACAACCAAGCATCCCACGTTTTCCTGTGAAATATCAAGGATCTTTATGATTTGCAAGCAGTCAGGACCTCAGACGATCTTCCTCAGCTTAGCTAGTAGAAAAGAGAAATCTATATCCCAATACTGGACAGAGATCCAGCCTTTTCCTTAGCAGATGCATGGGGTGTGTGATAGATGGCCGACACGCATCCTTCAGAGAGTAGCAGCCCAGATCCCAGGGGAAGGCTCAGGAATACATATCTGAGGTGCTCCACCAACATCGTCTTCCCAAAAGAAGACCCTTCTCCATGTTCCTTCCACCTTACCCAAAGTCTTTTTGGGTGCTATAAGAAGTCTGGCCTGTCCCAATTTCAAAAGAGAAATATCAGCATTGCAAAACAGGGGATCACAAGAGCACTGAGGGGGTCCTTGTCACTAGTCCTCACATTCTGATCCCATAATGTTGCATTCCTCCTAGGATGTCCGATGGGACACCAGTGGGCATTAAACACTTCAACTTTGCATAGACAGGTTTTGTTATTCACAAGGGCTCCATTCAGTGCTATAGGGAATGAATAGGAGCCCAGATCAGGTTTCACAAATTTTAATGAGAGAGAGATGCTCAACAGCTGGATCATCCTCTTCTTCTACAGGACAGGGTTTCTAAAAGCTCAGGAGATTAGCAGATACTCCAACTGCCAGGGAGTGCAGGAAGTGTAGTACACTAAACCCCTCCAGAAGTTCAGTGCATTTAAAAAGACTTCTAAGCATTTTAGGCAGTTAGCAGCTGAACTCTAAAGACCAAGGGATCTATGCTTTATATACAGTCTTTTCTTTTTTTTCCTTCCACTTGAGATGATGCTCTATAAATACCTTGAAGGTAATGATATAAATGAAGGAAGGGAATTAGTCATGGTCTCCAAAGATGATACGATGCACAGCAGTGTTCTGAAGCTATGGAAGGAAATATTTAGGTTAGATCACTGATGGGGAGTGAAGTGTTCTTAATAAGCAAAAGCAATTGGACACAGCAAGAGGAAATGGCAGAGATGCCTGCAGTGCAGAGATGTGAGGGCAGGTTAATTGAAAGGGTATGTACAAGGAGAGTGCTAGAGGCCAGAAAGAACAAGTAGAATGCTTTTCTGACCCCACTTCTCCAAACCTCAATGTTAAGTTCCAGACCCAAGGTTTGTGTTCAGCATTATTTCTACTTATGCTTTCTACAAAGATGAATTAGTTCAGCTGATGGCTCTCGCAAGCAACAGCCAGTACTGCCTACAAGTTAGCAGACATGTTGCCGTGCTAACGGAATAAGTTTGAGCTCTGCATGACAGCATTTTTTCTTACTAAGAGGTCTTTGTACAAAGGCCCAAGCTTTGGTTCTGGAAAAAGCTGATGACATCTGCCTCCTTTCAACTGCCAAACCACTGAGGAGACATCGTCACTCAGACACCCTCCCCCACAAAAACTTATGGCAGCAAAATCAAGCATAGGTGTGGAGACAGCCCATTGAAGTCAAGCACATGTGCTGGAAGGAGCCATCTCCCTCTGTATGTAGAGGGCTGGGAACCAGACCAAAATTCTCTGCCACTATTAGACCACTTCCCCTCCAAGATGCAATTCCATCCCCACCCGTGAAGTGGAGAATATAGTCCCCTCTCCCTCTTGTGTGGCACTGAGGAATGGAGTGAATCTGGGTCATGCTTAGAGAGCCTCAGGTTGAAGGCCTTCCCAGATTATACATTGTGAGCCTTAGGCACTGAAAGCTAACTCCCACAACAATGCCCTCTCACAGGGAACGTAGTGTTGAAGGTGATCTCCTCCTGCTCCCCAGGCAGGGGAATGGGGTCCCTCTTCAATGCATATATTAGCGGAAGAGCAAAACATAAGAGGTTGTAATGAAATTTCAGGGAAAGCAGACACTTCAAAAAACAAGAAAACCCCCAAAAATAACAACAAAAAATGAAGTTCAAGTTCTGCTCACACCCAAATTCAGCCTCTCTTCCTTGCCTACCTCAGTCGCCAGTCTCCCACTACTGGATTCTCCCCAGCTAAATCCCATCTATATGCAGAAGGAGGAAGAGGAACTCACCATACCCTGGAAAGGATAAGGCTGAACTACGCTGCTTGTGACTTCTCACGCAGCAATGGAAAACAAGGACCAGATCCGTCTTAGAATTCCCCCTAGAAACTACACTTCCCCAAATGGAAAAAAGACCAAGCCTTGTTACACTGCATGCATCTGCTTTTGGGTGTGCATGAACATAACAGAGCAGGGGGTTTCCTAATTGTTCCAAGTCACTTATTTTGGCCCAGTTAAAGAGATATTGTGACCAATCATAGGAGTCACAGCCCAAAGTGAACCCTACTGTAACTAATTCCATCTTACCAGCAACCTCAGTCCTTGCCCCTTTACATAGATCCTGAGAAGACAACTCCCAAAGTATTTCACTGGGACTGTCTAGGGCAGGGGTGGGCAATTATTTCAGGCAGAGGGCTACTTACTGAGTTTTGGCAAGCCATTGAGGGCCGCATGACAGGCAGCCAGGGACAGATAAATATTAATTTTCTAAATTATTGGGGTCCCCGTGGGCTGGATACAATGGCCTGGTGGGCCGCATCCAGCCCGCATTTTGCCCACCCCTGGTCTAGGGTCAGCATGTGGGGATGAAACAATGGGCCAAATCCTTTCATAATTTAACTTTCAAAATAAGTGGCCATTACACCAGCAGCAAATTCAAGTTAGATAACTCGCACAACAATGCCCTCTCACAGGGAATGTAGTGTTGAAGGTGATCTCCTCCTGCTCCCCACTCAGGGGAATGGGGTCCCTCTTCAATGCGCATATTAGTGACCGAATCGCCACTAGGAAAATAGACTGACCGTTCCGTTCTCACTGAAGTTAGAAGGGCACACTGGAGTTAAGCCTTGCTTGAAAAGTACACAGCCAGAGTCAGATGTGGCTACAAGCACTGGCCTCTTTGAGATGAATTACACTTCTGGAGATACAAGTGGGCTGTTCAAATAATGGGTATGTTTCCCTCTGCTCCAAATTACAGTTGTCCCCTGCCCCCCCCCCCCCCCC